ACCTCCAGATACGTGGTTTGATTTGCTTCTCTTCTGAGTTAACTTGCTTCTGTTTGTTCCACCCCAGGTGAAGAGTGGGGACAGGTGAGAGCACCCAATGCCAACCGCTTCATCTTCTCCCATGACCTGTCAAATGGTGCCTTAAACATGCTGGAAGTGTTTGTGTCCAGCCTGGATGAGTTTCAGCCAGACCTCGTGGTACTTTCAGGACTTCACATGATGGAAGGCCAGAGCAAGGAGATGCGGCAAAGACGACTTATGGAGGTGAGATAATTCAACACCACCTTGATTTCCATTCCAACAAATGCTTCATGACACTAATGTTTCTTGGATACAGTGGGTTGTCTAGGGGAAAAAAGGTACGGTCTGGTTGTCTGCCTCGAGTACGCTGCCCATAGTTTGTGGAGCTTATCTTGTGGCTAAATTACCCTTTTTCTGTCCCAGGCACTAAGATGATCGAGGTTGTAATCAAGACTTGCATTCTTTAAACAGCATCTGCGTTAGATAATCCAAGAGGCAGTTTTCTCATCTAAGCCCAAAAGACCTCAGCCACATTTTCTTTTTATTTACAGATCATTGCCTCTTACAGCCGAGTGCCCTTCCTGATGCAATGCACTGCCTTTTCTTTTTCTCTGTTCTAGGATCAGCTGTCCTACAGCTGCTTCAGATTTGTGAGGTTTCTGAATTAGTGCAATAGAAAAGTGCTGAGCTGGGTGCAGATTAGGATTAGACACAGGGTTCCTGCTCTGGGATAATGAAAACTAGAAGTTACTTATTACCCTTAGCAGCACGTTCTGGCACCTGTCAGACATCTCACTGAGAACTGTTTAAACTCCTACACAAGAAGATTAGAGGATGTGTATCTCTGAGTCAAAACCCCTTTGTTCTTTCTGTTTCTTAACGAATGTGTTTTAGGGTGAGTTGTTTTTTTTCTTTTCCTGTACCCCCGTAGGCTGTGGACTCCATCTCTGACATCCCTACGGACATTCCCGTACACCTGGAGTTGGCCAGCATGACGGATCAGGATTTTATGAGCAACATTATGCATCAGGTAATGAAGATTAAAGGACGTGCTCTTCCTATCAATTTCCTTTTCTTCAATATCATAACACAGAGACTGGTAGATGAATATAGAAATGAAAACTTAAAATTAGGTCGTATCCATTTGAAGATAAATTGAGCATTCTGAATGCTTCTGTTTTCTCTACTGAGTTTACCAGAGACTCCTCTGTGCAGCAAAGCAGAACTGTGATGACTTGTGGCTTAGCAGAGGACAGATTTGTTTTCTTTAGCTGAGAGAAAGCATTCAATTTAGGTAGGTTTCTTTGGAAGTTTCATTTCAGTGGTATCTTACAGTTGATCTCAGTCTCTTACTGATGATCTCAGTTGATCATCAGACTGTTTCCAGCAAGGAGTAAGGATTTTATTTTATATTATACTTTTCAGATCTGAGCAAAAAACAGTACTCTGAATGAGGAAGGCCCGAGTCCGGTTCTCTCTTCTGAAGGCACAACTCTTGTTGCTGTGTTTCTGTTAACAGGTCTTTCCCCTGGTGAACTCCATTGGGCTGAATGAGCAGGAGCTGCTGTTCCTCACGCAGTCTGCCTCTGGTCCCCACGCCTCCCTGGCTTCCTTGAGCGGAGTTCCTGACGTGGGTGTCATCAGCGACATCCTCTTCTGGATCCTGAAGGAGCACGGGAAGACCGAGGAGCGCGCCTCCGACCTGACACGGATCCACTTCCACACCCTGGCCTATCACATCCTGGTCACGGTGGACGGGTACTGGGGCAACCAGGTCGCTGCTGTGGCTGCTGGTGCTCGAGCAGCAGGGACTCAGGCCTGCGCGACCGAAACCATCGACACCAGCAGAGTCTTTCTTAAAGCTCCTCTGGAGTTTGTGACCTCCCAGACAGAAGCACCTTCCAAAATCTTTTTAAATCCGGATGAGCCAGTGGTGCATTGGCACAGAGAAGGCATCTCGTTCCATTTGACTCCCGTTCTGGTGTGTAAAGATCCTGTGCGGACCGTGGGACTTGGAGATGCTATTTCAGCTGAAGGACTGCTCTATTCAGAAGCATATCCTCAATAGAAGAGTAAGAGCCTCCTTTTTCTCCAATACTGTACGGTGTCTGAGGAACCACGGTGTTCTCCTTAGGATTTCAGCCGGTGGTGGTAGAGGAAGAGGATCGGGGTGCGGTTGTGTTTTCTGGGTATAACTGAACAAGAGCCAAAGAATAATTCCAGGTATAAACAGATACATTCCAGTCACTTGGCAGTGGCTTGAAGGCTTCACATTTCGGTGCAAACGTTTCAGTATTTAATGTGAAAATTGGTTTTGCTTTGTCTTAAGCGCGTGAGGAGGGAAACAGATATCAAAATCCCTGTTTGGTGTAGGGTCTGTAACTCTGAGCAGGTCTTGTCTGTTAGCACTGGGAAGTACAGCAGCCAGGAGAATTTCCTCTGTGTGGATCCCAGGGAGAGCACGGCCGTGCTCAGCTGTCCTGCCTCTGATAAATTAAAAATAAAA